GGGAGGGGACGGTGGGTGTGGCCACTGCCTCACCTGTGGCGGCGACGACCTCTGTGCAGAAACGCCAGCTGTTGGTCGTGTTGACCACGTGCATGCCCACTTCCCCAAAGCGTGGTCTGGAGAACCGGTCAGTGGGCAGGAAGTCCGGCTGCGGGGGGGCGCGGAATTCCCGCTCTTCCTCTCCCCTGCGAGTGCAGTTTCTCCCCCCCCTGCCCTGGTGTTTGAGCTCGGGTCGTCACAGTCCCGTGTGAGAACACAACCCTCACGTTCCCCCGTTGGGGGTTTCTTTAGAGACCTGCAGGGAAGGGGCCACGCACACTCACGACACGCCTGACACCCGCTGTGCGGCGACCCCACGCCATCCGGGTCTCCGCACCAGCCGGGGGGCCCTGTGGGTCAGTTCAGCTCTGCCGCCGTGGAGGTAGTTAGTGTCGACCCCACGTCGAACTGTCCCCCGCCGCCCCCACTGCCGGCGCCAGTCGGGCATGTGCAGTTGTCACGTGTGCTTCTGACTGGCTGGCTGCCTGTGCACTGGGGCTCCCGACACTGCCTCCTCGGGCTTGGTTATTTCCCACAGCGGCGCGTAGATCTCAGGGTAGAGCTTCCGTTGTCCAGTTGGTTGTGAAGCAGGTGATAAAGGAATCAGGCGAACAGCCAGGTACAGAGGTCCACAGGCCGAGTCTGGAAGGGTCTGGGCACAGGAGCTGCTGCCCCGTGGAGGGGGGCGTGCCACCCTCCCGGTGGGTGGGTGTGCCCCCTGCCCTCTCCGGGGGACGGGGTGGGGTTGCAAGTGCCAAGCTGTGCTCGAGGCTTGGCCTTCCTGGGGGACAAGCCCCCCCGCCCGGGAGCCCACCCAGAATCGCCTCCTGAGAACAAAAGACACTCCCGTCACCCAGGAAACTGCAGAGGGTTTAGGGACCCTGTGTCAGAACTGGGGTCACAGACCAGCGCACACACTTCATAGTGTTTCACGAGCCTGAGCCTCTCGCCAGGCCACTCAGCAGGGCCCTCGACGAGCGTGGTCAGCCTGGCAGCCTGGCTCCCTGGCTCCCTGGGTGGCCAGTTCACAGGGGCAGGGCCAGAGTGCGGCCCCTTTGCTCGCCAGCGCATGGAGAGAGCCTGGCCTGGCGTGAGCGCGAGAGAAGTGTTTGTGGGGTGAATGTGCAGCTGCAGCTGCAGCGGCCTGGGCGGACGGGCAGGAGGAACGGGGGCCCACGTGGCGGGGAGCCTTGTGGTTGAGGTCCCGGTGGGAGGTGAGCCAGGAGACCTGGGGTCTGAATCCCTGAGCAGGGATGTGTAGGGGGTGAGGGAGGAGCCCCCTGTTTTTTGGGGGGGCCCGTATGTGTGGCTGGAGCAGCCACATCTGCTGGCCAGATGGGGAGAAGAGGACCTTGGAGTCGGAGCCCGGGCTCACAGCCCCTCCCCCGATGCTCCCGGCAGTGTGACCTTCAGGTGACAGCATGCTCCCTTCTAGAACTTGGGTTTCAGAGAGGGGTGCCGGCAGCGGCTCCCTCACTGGACGCAGACTCCCAGCCGGGGGTCTGGTGGGTGCGTTGCTTCCTAGCCCATGACATTGACTTGAAGTGACTTTCTTTTTCCTACCAAAGGAAGAACCGGTCTGTTTCCTGCCCACGTGGTAGTTTTCTGTGCACGCACCACAAGCCACAAGGATGGAATACTTTCCTCTCTACGTGGCTCCTTACGGGACCTTCCCGGCTCTGGCCGATGGCCCTTCCTTGCTTTGTGTCCTGTGCGAGCCGGCCACACGCTGGGGGAGGATGTCAGCCGTGTGAGGAAGGTCCGGCCGGCCGCCCGAGGAAGGGACAGCGAGAGCGGGGGGAGGGGCAGGTGGAAGCCGGCAGGCCCCAGCCCCCAGATGCAGAGGAAGCCAGAAGACGGTGTCCCCCGCCGGCCGCAGGCGGGGGCGGAAGGCCTGATGTCAGGAGATGAAGCCGCAGGAAGCCCGGGGGGCCCCGGCGGTCGTCCGCGTCCACTCGAAGGCGCTGTCCGTCCTGCCCTGCGCTTTACAGGCGGGAGCGGGTCAGCTGCTCCGACCTCGGCCCCCGAACCCCAACAGGGCGAGTTCGTGTCCCCACTGCTCCCCCTGACGCGGGCCTTCTCTTTCCTTCGGCCTCCGTCCTCCTCGGCGCGCTGTCTCGGAGGCCGGTCCTCCTCCCGCCGCGCTCGCCGGTGCACGGCGGCCGGGCTGACCGTGCCGCCCTCCGCTCCCCCGGCTCCTCGGCCCTTCGCGGTCACGTTTCTGCGGCAAAGAGGCCGCGGCACTAGGTGGGGAAGACATGGGGCTGCCCTCAGGGGCGGCCTCGCTCACGTGGGTGAGCAGAGTTCCCCCCGAGCTGCTCCGAGCGCCCTTTGGCCGCCGTGGGCCGAGCCGGCCTCCGTCCCAGCCTCCGCCGCCTGGGGTCAAGGTTTAGGGTCAGGCCAGTGGGGGACTGGGGACGGGGCGGCGGGAAGTGGGCTCGGATGCCCGGATGGGGCCGTCCACACCGCGCCATGACTTGACATCTGACGTTTTTCGGGGGCACCACCCCCCCCATCGGCTGCATCTGAGTCAGGCCACAGCCAGCGCCCAGAGATGTCCGTGTGACCCACTTCTGTTTTCATGTGTTTGCTGAAGGCCTACTAAGCGTGCTCTGTCAGTGCCTGCCAGTGTTCAGAGATGAGTAAGACCCTGAGTCTCTGTAATAGACGCCTACCGGGGGGACGGACATGTGCACCCCGGATATGAGGGGACGAGCGGGAGGGGACAGGGTGGCACACGGAGCTACGTGGGGAGGGATTCACCCCCGTGGGTGCCCGGCTGGGCCTTCGTGGAGGCCAGGGTCAGGGTGCGGCCCACCAGCAGGGGCAGGCAGACGCCCGGGCATCGCGCACAGTAGGTGCTTAGTCCACTGGCAGCCGTGCCAATGTCCTCGCCTTCACGTCCCCACGCTCCCACACAGGGATGCCCCAGAGGCCACCCGGCCCGGCCTGCTCCGGTGACCAGTGCTCGGGGTCCCAGCAGCCGCTGCCCCTGCCCCTGCCCTGTCCCCGGGGGCGAGGAGCTGGCTGAAATGAGCCCCACGGAGGAGGGGTCGAGGCAGGACCCCGCTGTCTTCACGCTCAGTGTCCCCGCTGACTGTCGCAGCTCCGAGCGTGTCCAGAACCGATGTATGTCCGGGCGTCGGAGCAGCCTACGTCGTCTGTGAGTGAAATTCTCAGACAGGAGGACATGCGGATGCCTCTGAGGTCCTTGAGGGTTTTCTACTTCGTAGCTGTGGGGGCATGCTGCTAGCTCTCTGGCTTGCTGAGTGCGGAATACCAGCTGCCCTGCGGTCTCGTCCTGCATGCATGCACACGTGTGCACATGCCTGCACACACAGGCACACGCCTGCACACACAGGCGGTTTCACAGCGAGTAAAGAAAGAGAAGGTGGGAGGTTGGATTGATCGGTGTTAACAGAGATGGAATTGGGGTGGTGGGTATACGGGGGACCCCTGTATGATTCTTTCAGCTTCTCTGCACACTTGAAAATTTTTCGTCATGTCGAAATTGAAGAACCACAGATTGTGTTCTCTGGAGTTTTCCATGAACACAGTCCCCCAAGAGCAAGTTCCTGGGGCAGCACCGTCCTGTCCCTGCAGGTGGCCTCACCTGCTTCCCTGGGGAGTTCGGAGGAGCGGCCCGAGGACCCCTGGTGCGGTGCGTTCTGGGTGCACACGCTGCTGGCTGGCTGGCGTGAGTGCGTCCCGTGAGGGGTGTCGGCCGGGACTCCCTCTGATGGACGGTGGTGTGTCTGTTGGTCAGCGTGGGGTGATTGACAGTCAGAAAAACACAGGGTTGGGGAGCTCCAGCCCGACGGATCGGAACCAGAGCTGGAAGGGGCCGCGCCCCCCTCCCCCCCCCCGCCCCCCCCGCCCGAGTTTGAGAGCTGGTACCCGGAGAGCCTTCAAGAGCTCACCTCGTGCGCAGGCACCTTCTTGCTGAGCGCGCGCAGTAGTGTGTTTATCATCCTTTCCGTTTACACACCCGCTTCTCGAGCCTCCACCGAAGGAGGGGCCCCGTGCTCAGCTCTGCTCACGTGTCTGGCGGCAGCCCTGAGAGAGGCTCCCGCGCCCCGGTGCGTGGGGGACCCCAGACGGTGGCGTTACTGTTCAAGCCCGGGTCTTTCAGAGACCGCGTCGTGGCCGAGGTAGACGAACTCTTCGGAGCTCTTGGTTTGCCAAGCAGCCTCTCCTGCCGCTCCTGCAGACGTGCAGGCCCGGTGGGACGCTCCTCCCTTTCCGGATGAGGGACCGATGCTCCGAGAGCTTCCCAGGTGCACTCCCGCCAGGTGGGAGGCGGCCTGGCTCTCTGACTTCTGCTTCGCTGCGTTGCCTCAGACTCAGAGGGCTGGAGGGGTGGGGGGAGACCTGGAGGGCATGGGGGCAGGGTGCCAGGCAGGGGGGCCTATGAGCAAGGAGGCTAAGAGCTGAGATCCGGGGTGGGGGGGGTGTGTGTTCAGAGGTGAGGCACCAGGGGAGAGCCCCTGCTTCGCAGACCGCTGGACCTGGGGCTGGGGGCCTGGTACTTTTGTAAGAAGTGAGGATGGCAAATCCTCGTGGGTGGTTCCCACTGAGAATGAAAGGAAGTCGTTTACGTGAAATCTTGCGATCTGCGTGCTTGGCGTGTTGCAGGCGTGGCGCGGTGTTCTGGACGTTGTGTTAAAGACGGCAGGAGACTCCGAGAGCTGTGGGCAAGGGGGCAGGTGGGCCGGGTGGAGGTGTGCAGAGCGGAGGGCGGCGGGCGGGGAGCTGGTGGCCGTCCCCTGCTGCTGGAAGCCTTGACCCTTGACCAGCTGGGCGAGGGGGAGAGGTGTGAGACAAAAAGACATTTCGAAGGAGTAGCCCATGGGGTGTGGTGAGGAGCTGCTTGTGGAGAGGACTATCTGGCTTTGTCATGGGCTTGGATGACGCGGGTCACCCGCCCCTCCTGACTCACTGGTGCTCTCTCGCCCCCGCAGGTACCTGCGTGAAGTGCAGCAAAGGGGTGTTTGGGGCCGGCCAGGCCTGCCAGGCCATGGGGAACCTCTACCACGACGCCTGCTTCACCTGCGCGGCCTGCAGTAAGTGTGTTGGGGGGTGGGGAGGCCGGGCGGGCCGTGGGGGTGGGGAATGGGGGGAGAGGGAGGAGCATCCACCGTGGAGACACGGCCCCCCACCCTCTGCGGCCCCACTGAAGGGACGGTGCCTTCCAGAGTGGGGCTCCGTGCTAGCACGGGGCCTGTCCCTGGCAGCGGGTCACAGAGCCCCGGGGGGTGCCCTGGGTGGACTCCGGGGGTAAGTTGAGCGGTTTCTGAGGGATCCCCAATGACGTCGGGTTTGTGATGCCAGTCGGGGGTCTCCGAAGAGGGCGAGGGAGGAGCACAGGGCGTTCCCATCGTCCACCCGTCGTGGCCGGTTCTCTCCCCACGGTGGGGGCCGCACAGAGACCCCAGTGGGACGCGGCCCCCTCAACACACTGCCTCCATCCAGGCTTTGACTTGAAGGCTGCCGTGTGAGTGTGAGCTGTGGCTGTGTACGCACCCCTCACGAGTGGCGGTGCCCAGCAGCACACCCGTGGGCACCTCTGTCCTCCTCTGGTTCATGTGTTGTGGCCGCGGCAGCCGCCCCAGGAGGGGGCCGGGCCTGGGCCCGGCTCCGCAGACTTCTCGCCGGCCCGGTGGCGACCACAGTGGGCAGGCGCCAGCACGCTGGCCGAGGCTGACCGAGTCAGGAGCTGTGCTCGTTTCACCGTCTCTGCCGCCAAAGATCAGGTGCGAGGAGTGACTGTTGCTGGAAAAGGTCCCTGTGGTGTCCTCCAGCTCTGCAGCGGGGCCAGCCGCTGTCAGATGAAGGAGACATGACCACCCGGCCGGAGTGTCAGGGACGAAGGGGCCGAATCGTCTGGCCGGCGGCTCTCCGTCCCAGCTGCTCCTGAGAATCGCTGGGGCGATGAGAGCCGGCCGTGCCCCCACCCGCCGCTGCCACCAGCAGAACCTCCGGAAGTCTGTGGGTGGGATTTCTGGGGCGGGGGGGCGAGAGTACAGCTCAGAACTCCTCAGGCGCCTCTAGGGTGGCCAGGGCTGAGCACCCTGGGGGGGTGCCAGGCCGCTCCTTTTAGGAGTCAGGAGGAGGGCGGGGAGGGACTTGCCTGGAGCTGGCGCGTGGCACAGCCCTGGTGGCCCCCCCGGCTCCCGGTCTATGGGGAACCAGGTGGGCCCGGACCTGCCTCCTCACCTGCCGGGCCTCGATGGCCGGGCTCGGGGCGCCTGCGACAGTCCTCACCGCGGCTCCCCGTGGAGCGCGTGCCTGGGAGTGCGTGGTTTGCTCGGGGACCAGCATTGACCGACCTTCACAGGGAGCACCTGTGGGGACTTTGAACCGGACCCACAGTCTCCCGGGCATCCTGGGCGGGAGTGCTCTGCCCCGTTACCAGGCTCCCCAGGCCCCGGGCCTGGCCGTGTCTTTGAGCCGCGTCGCACTCTGCCAGGTGGAGGCGCACGTGTTTCCTGCCCGTGACCACGGGGACCGTCCGGTGCAGGGGCGGCGGACTCTCGCCCTGTGGGGGTCGGCCACTCTTGGTCTCATGTCCGTTCAGCACGCCGATCCCAGCAGTCCCGGCGGCCACCCTGCGTGGTTCCCTGCGGACGCCCCTGCATCTCTCTGGCCCCCTCACGAGGTCACGGGTGAAATGAAATCTTTGACACACGTTTCTTCGGTAGCTACGAGAGTTACGATCGCCTTCTTTTCGCAATTACCCTTGACTCTTGGCTCCTGCCAAAGTACGTCTCAACATTGGCTCTGTTTTCCAGGATAAGAAGAAAATACTGAGTAGAAGCTGTTTTTTTTTTTTCTTAAGCATTATTTGCACTAAGAAAGGGGTTGGGGAAAAACATTATTAATAAGTTTGTTGGTTCTGCCTGTGGCTCCATGACTAGCTCTCGATTTCTTGACGAGTGAGTGTATCTTGCTTCAAACTATGCCGGGCACGAAGGCTTAAGGAGCCCAGCTGGCCTGAGTGTTTGTTTGGTCCGGCATTCAAGGCCCTTAGGGTCTGACCCTTGTCGTTGCTTCCCACTAACTTACCAGGTCAGACGGAATTTCTCTCCCCACACCCATGTCTCTGGACACACAGCGCCCTGGAACCTCCTCTCCCTACCCCGCACGTTTGCATTCTGACCGGCCTGTAGGACCCAGCTCGAGGGCTGCCTCTTCCAGGAAGCCTTCCCTGTTCCCCCAGCAGGAAGGAACCACTCTCCTGGGCCTGTCCTGCCCTGCCGGCTGGTGGGCGCCCTCATACCGACTGTGAACCACATTCTGTCACTCCGCCCCGGCCCCCCAGGCCCGAGAGCGGAGCTGCCGAAGGCCTGGGGACCGGGACTCCTTCTGGAAGTGAGTGCCACGCACTCCTGGGTGCCTAGGCGCCCGCGTACACGCCTGTCGTGTGCAGACACAGCTCCCTCTGTGCGTGGACGGAGCAATCGGAGACCAGGCATGTGTCTGAGCAGCGTCGCTGAGCAGCGTCGATACTAGAGGTCCTTTGCCTTTGCTCAGGTGACTTCTTGCTGCCCTGTACCGGCTTGCAGCAGGAGCAGGGCCCAGGGTGCCCCGAGGCCTGGCTGGGCAGGTCCTCAAGTCTGCGCATGACGCTCAGGGTGGAGGGGACGGCATAGCTGGGGCCGGGTTCCTCCACGCTTCCCCCCCCCCGCTGGTGGAGCTGGAAACGGGGGCCCCGAGAGGGGAAGGGAGTCTCTCAAGTTTGGAAACCTAGCACGGAGCTGGCACGAGAACCCAGGCCCCCCCAGTCGAGACGAGGCTTGCACGCCCCTGTTTTCCTGGCTGGCCAGTGTGTGTGTGTGTGTGTGTGTGTGTGTGTTCCCGTTTCCCCCGTTTCATTTACGACGGCTGTGGAGATGCGTTCCCGTCGGCACGCACACGCACACACTCACTTCTTGGATTGCACCGATGGTGCATGAAAAACAACGTGCTGGGACCTTGTCAGTTCACACCTGCTCCGAGGCAAGGCCAAGGCCTGACGGGTCTGCCTGGTAGAGACGCTCTGAGCCTCCTGTAGGTGCAGACAGTTTATGACTCGTACAGATGAGGGGACGAAGGACATGCCAGCGTCCCGGGTCCTTGTCCCACACACCTGAAGGGAGGACACAGGAGGGGCCCCGAGGACGGTTGTGGGGCAAGGAGCAGCCAGTCCCAGATGCAGCCCGCCTCTCATCAGAGAGGAGACACTGTCTTGTCTCAGTGACTGACAGGCACCCGGGGAGCCAGGAAGCTGCTCTCACTGCCTCTGGTCGGTCCTCTTGGGTCCTGGGAGGGTCCCAGGCGTCCCCCCTTAGGCCTTCTCCTCCATGGGGGGGGTGCAGGGTCTCCGGGGCCTCACCCTGGTTCCCCGCTGCCCACAAGAAGCACCAGTGTTCAGTTCAGTTGTTTTCCGCTGTGAGACCAGCTTGGCAGCCACAGACAAAGGCTGAGAGGCAGAAACCTGTCCTGTTCCTGTAACACGGGCGTTTCACTTGTATCTTCCCTTCCAGGCTTTGCCCAAGTGTATACAAATTGGTGCACAGTTTCTCCCAAGTTCCAGTCATTGTAATCATAGCACATAAAGTGTATCCTCTTTGATGGACTCTTTTGTCATAAACTCTGCCGTCTTCACAGTAATCATTGGGGCCGTTCCCTAGTAACCGAGGGCGTCCCGTGGTCTTACCGCCCCGAGCTCACTGGATTCCAGTCTGCTGGTTATCGCCCACGGGCGCCAATGTCTTTGCGCATGCATCTTTTTCCCCTCTGCTGAATTGTTTCCTTGGTGCTCGCTCCCAGAAGTGGCTTCCGGGCGCAGCGTGTGTGGGCGTTTCTGTGGTTTGTTCAAGTGCCCTTCTTTCTCACAGCGGGTGTGTCGGGTTGCCGTGGAGATGGGCGCTGTGGCTCTCCCTGCCTCCCCCGCAGGCCCTGCCCACCCCCGGCGCTGGCTGTGCCCGGGCTGGGCCCTCGCAGGAAGCCTCCGGGTGCACCGTGGGGCGGGAGGGAGGGTCGTGGGGAGCGCAGACACGGCCTGGCCGGTGGCCACGAGCACTGCGTCTGGACACTTAGTGTCAAGTGGCCCATCTGAGGGGACGCTGGCGCCCGCCTGCGGCTTCAGGGAGGGGAAGGGAGAAGGGAGGGAGAGTGTCCTGGCCTTGCGGGGTCAAGTGGCATCCTGAGGGCACTTTCCAGGGCGGGCGCCGAGGGACAAGCGGCAGGGCCCAGTGTCCGCACGCCGGGGCGGCGTCAGGTCCCGAGCGCGTGCCTCCGTGCCCTTTGTGAGGACGGGCAGACGTCCATCCCAGGGTCCTGGGGAGACCGGTTTGCCGCGGGCGGCCCATCTGTAGCAAGACGGGCCCGTCACTGGCAGGCGACGGCCTAGATGAGACCTCCCACGTGCTTCCTGCCCCTGGGCTCACGGAACATGGGGTGCCCAGGTCGTGGGGGAGGAGGACTAGGGTGCAGGCAGTCCATGCTGATGGGACGTGTGTCCGGCGCCGGTGTGCGCTCAGAGGAAGGCCGCCCAGGGCCAGCTAGCGCCCATCCAGGGGACAGTGCTGGGGTGAGCAAGTCCAGGCCAGAGCTGGTGGTGACCGGCAGCGCTGGGACCCAGGGCTGGCATTCCCGGGTGGGGCGCACTGTGACCCACCAGGCATACCTGAGGGGAAAACCAACCCAGTGAGGAAGATGTGCCATTGCCCACCCCGCCTCCCACACGCCAAACGTCCGTCCGTGCCTGTTAAGGACCGAGCGTGGGATTTATAGCGAAGTCGCCCATTTAGACCCGGTCGGGGGCAGCTCTGAGTTGGGGGCCGCCTGCGCCCGGAGCGCCGAGGAGGGGCCGTTGGTTCCTGCAGGCAAATACAACGACGAGGAGTGGGCCCAGCGATGGAAGGGGGTCTCCGAGGAAACCCGCCCGTGGTTGGCGGCCCCTCCCGCAGTGGGTTCCGCAGCGCAGGAGGGCTCTGGGCAGCTCCTTGGTTTTCCCTGCCGAGTCTGAATACCGGCCCCGAGGTCCCGTTTGCCGTTGTCGCTGGCTTTGACAACGCGC